TCAAGCAATTCTCCTGCCTCAGCCTCCCTAGTAGGTTTCTTGGGTGATTTGCATTCAAGGTAATATGTCTCTTAAGGGAGAGTCTAATGTTCTCATGGAGGAACTGGAGCCATCAGAGAGGGGTGGAGTAGGGGGTACGGGTGAGGGGACCCAGAACTCTGATCACACAGCCTCAGTGCCCCAGTGCTAAGGCCGGCTTCCCTGTGTTTAACCCCAATGTGAACTTGGCCTGGTGGGAGTGTGTGTGTGGGTCAATGGGTCCCTTGTGGGGTTGGGGGGTGAAAAGATTTGCTGAAAATCTCCCAATGGGTAAAAATTGAGGGTTCCCCCAAGGAGAGACAGTGGTTTGGACGGTTCCATGGGCCTGAGTCACCTGTGACAGGGCCACCCCCCCAACCCACAGGGTATTTTTAGCTGCAGGCTGCACTCACGTCTGGGCCTGGGCCTGAGTCACACTCTGTCCGTGCGAAGTGCCTTCCCTTCCGGCTCCAACCTTTGTGTCCTGCTCGCTGGCCTCCCCCCGCACACACCTGCTCCTGTCTGTGAGGCTGGGCCAGGGATGGGGGCAGGGCGGAGGCACGTTCTGCTGACTCATGGGGCTTCTTGGCCCCTGCCAGGCCAAAGGCCTTTCCCACCTGCAGCCTTAGCCAGCGTCTCTGGGGTCTAGCGGCCCCAGTGAGGCTATTCCTCGGGGTGCCTTGTAGCTTCCCCATCCGGGCCTCAGACCCTCCTCCCAGCAGCCCTAGGGGAGGGCCACTCTCTTCCTGTTTTAAGATGGGGAATCTGGCTGGGTACAGCAGCCCATGCTTATAATCCCAGCACCTTGGGAGGCTGAGGTGGGAGGATTGCTTGAGGTCAGGAGTTTGAGACCAGCCTGAGCAACATAGCAAGACTCCATCTTTTTTTTTTTTTTTTTTTTTTTTTTAAATTTTTGGAGACAGGGTCTCGCTCTGTCACCCAGGCTGGAGTGCAGTGGCGCAATCTGTGTTCAAGCAATTCTCCTGCCTCAGCCTCCTGAGTAGCTGGGATTACAGGCTTGAGCCACCGCGCCCGGCC